GTTAAGTGTTTGATATATTTCATAACTGAGTTTATAACTAGTTTAATATATGTCTGGGCTTTGTTTGTTTTCAACAGGTTTCATGTACAGTAGATGAGGAATGAAGTGAATCAAAGCCAGTAGTAGGTTATCACTGATATTGCAGGCATCCCCATTGCCAATATCAGCCTTTCTCTTCAGTACACCTCTGTCTATCATGTCGTAGTCTTTTGTTTTTTGCCTTGGGCCTTTTCAGCAGCACAAGCTATGCAGTAAACATAGTTACAGTCCAAAAAATTAAAGGGACACTATCTATTTGAAAGTTGCGTAGCCATTTGAAAGCTTAACAAACTGTAATTGTAATTTAAAGGTCTATTGACCCCAGAAAACATCTGCTTCTCAATTTCCATCGACCTTGTCTTCACATGCTGCTTCAGCCCTTGGAAACTAGGTCGTTTAAACCGTGCGCAAGTCAACCCGAGCTTCTTGGAGTCCTGGAAGAATAAATAAGTATGTGTAAATAAATTAAAAATACTTAGGTAATAAGAACAGCAGCTGAGATGGTGGCTCAAGCTCTCCCAACCCTTCCCCTGTCCGCTTCCTCACAAGTAATGAGTGAACCAAGAGAAACTGCATTTGTTTGAATATGAGAGATCCCCGACCCTTTGACAAAGAAGCTGGGGAAACAGGAGAGAAAAGAAATGGGGGACAGCGCCGAATCCTAACCACTAGACCACCAGGGATTTGGCTCATTTCCCTACAAAAGAATTGATAATATCAATATTCAGTGGTTTCATCATGGTATCTTCCAAACATTTTAAATAAAATCACCTTTTTCAAAAAAGAACAAAAGAAAGAGGGTTATATTTCCTTCTATCCTCCCAGGTAGATTTAGCTTCTGGAAATGAAATACAGTCATACCTTGGGATAAATACGCTTCAGGATAAATATTTTCAGGTTGCGCTCCGCGGCGACCCAAAAGTAACGGAGTGCATTACTTTTGGTTTTTGCCGCTTGCGCATGCGCAGACAGTCAGAATGACGTCACGTGCATGCGTGGAAGCGGCGAAACACGACCCATGAACACGCAGGTGCACAGTCGCATCTTACGTTCTGTTCAGGATGCGAACGGGGCTCCAGAACGGATCCCGTTCGCATCCCGAGGTACCACTGTAGCTTCAGAGCAGGCCCCATCTGTTGACACAGTTTTCATATGTAGCGAGCGGCAGGACACACTGCATGTCTTAAGCTCAACAATTGTTTATTTAAACCTACAGAACACAACGTAACTGAATAAATAAATAAACAACGATAATGTCGGGTTACTGATTGCCTTCTTGACCAGAACTGCCTAGGACTTTTAATAACTTAGTGCAGGGGTGGGGAAACTCTGACACACTGACCAGAGTTGGCCCACCAGAAGTTCAAATTTGGTCTCTAAGGCTGTTTTCTCCAAACCACCCCTCCTCACCCCACCCTTCGACATCATATATGATGATAGATTGTCTAGCATCATACATGGTGAAAGGCAGTACAGCTGAAGCCTCCTAGGTCACCTGCACAGATCACACACCTGATACCTGCAGAAAGCAGGCTTTAGCTGTGTGGGATGCTTTGACGTTCCAATCAAAGCTCCTAATCACCTGACTCCAAGTGATTGACAGGTAGGCAGCCCCACCCCCTTTCCAATCTATCTGAAAGGACCTGGTCTACAGCCCAAATGGTTCCCTGCCTCTGACTTAGTGGCCCTAACCTCTCCCTCAGGCTTTGCATCCAAAATTTAAAGCATTATTTCCTGTTCCTCTCACATCCTAGTCCAAGCCATTCTGGGCTTCATCTTAAAGAAGCAGTATAAATATTCTGTACATAGAGCACATGGTTTGTTTTTCTGTAGCTTCTAGAAAACTAAAAGTAGCTCCAAAATAGGTAGCGGTGCTCAGAAATGCAATGTGATGAATATAGAAAACACATTGTACAGTTTATTTCAAATACCTCCCTACCGATAGAAAAAAGAAATATTTTTTAAAATAGAATTGTAAAGGATGGTGACGGGGCAAAACCTCCATCAACCTTTTTAATAGCAACCCACCATACAATAACTTGTTAATATTTAATAAAAGCATATATCTCAAACAAAATGACCAATTCAAAAGGCGAATTGTTGTTTTTAATTGGTTAAACTTTAAATGGAGCAGTGTCTCTTTAAGTACTGTACATGTAAAAGTAGTGATTATTCAATTAACAGTACAATCCTAAGCTTGCTTACTTGGAAATATATCCTGTTGAAACTCAGCGGGACTTACTTCAAAGTAAACATGTTTAAGATTGGGCTGCCAATTAATCAGATTCCCTCTTTGTGTGGTGCCTAATAATAATGAAAAGGATGTATACTTTTGCAAGCAGTCATCCTTAGCATTTCTGCTATAAATATTATAGCCAGTATTTTAACAATTTATCCTAAGTTTCTGGATATCCCCCTCCCCATGCTAACTCTTTTCTTTTCTTTTCTTTTTTAAAAAAAGTTTCTGCACAGTCCCCTACCAAAAAGTACAATATAGAAATACAGTATGTTTTATTCCTTTTCCAGGTGGAAAAATTGGTGTTTTGCATCACATGCACCTTAAGCCTATCTGCTGGGTCTTAATGGCTGTTTTTCCTAGTGCGAATCCATGAGGGCTGTGTTGCTGAGCACAGATGTACTTGTGTGTCTTCCCTTCCGTTCCATCTGTTCCTACCCATCACTTGCACCCAAGTGACGAGGCTTTGTTATTACACAATGTCCCTAGGTGACTTTTCGATGGCACCTAGTTTCACTGAGACTAATACAGTTGTCCTTCCTATAGCAACAAGGATTTAACAACACCCAGAGGGTTTGGAACCCAGCAGAGGTGTTGGGGAAAGTTTGTGCACTTGGTTTTATGGCTTGTTTTCACTTTTAACACAATGAGCAAAAGTGCAACCTTCCTAATCCATGTCGGCCATGATATTCTTAACAGTACCACCTGCATGATACAAGAAATGTCCCTTGCATTGTATTTCTATATGTGAGATGCCAAGTTGTGGCCATATCTCTGTGCCCTTTATGAAAAGCATGATTTCTTGTTTGCCCCACCTCTAAACATGTCAGGTGGGAGCATTTTGTTGTTGCTGCTGTTAAAATGAGTGGGGTTTATTCCCAATCAATGTGCCTATGGATGGGGGTGTCCCGTGTGTTAGTTTTTATTGCACTTACAATATTAACTTAAATAGTTAATATGTACACTTCAATAATGGCACAGGCATGTCCATGTTCTGTTATTTAAGTTAAGTAAACATTGGGTTTAAATATTTTATCAGGAAATGTTTCTAGCTCTCTGACCTCAGTCAAAAATATTTCAGGAACGAATTTGTTATGATAATGCTGTAGTCAATGGCTAAATTTCCTATCATATTAACAATGTCTAGGACATTTAATGCTGCAAATATCTGGTTTCCCCACCTACCCTTTAATGCCATTATAGGTTTCGCTTTGTTTCTTAGGAAATGCAGCAAGAAAACCCAGTGGACGCCACTGGAAAACAAAATGCACAAAAGCAACCTTATAAAGTTAGCAGCTGGAATCCAATGCATGTCTTCTATACATCTGGAGCCACATTGCACATTAAGTTCAGTTTGGCTTACCACCATATAAGTGTGCATTGGATTGAAGCTGAATACAAATGTTCAAAGATTGTAAAACACACCCAATAAATATATACAGCAGCCATCCCTCTAAAGTGGTCTGGCTTCAAAAAAACCCACACATCCTGTGAGAGGTTGAGTTATGGTATAGTATGGTGCAATCCCATACATGCCTGCTTAGAAGTAAATCATATTGAGTTCAATGAGATTTACTCCCAGGTAAGTGTCCATAGGATTCCAACCTGACCTGTATAATTTTGCCAGCAAATATGCCTTTTTACTAAGTATTATGAAAGAACCATACCTTTTAAATTTGAATTTTATATGCTCAAAAATCTATAGCATTGCTATATTTTGAGAAATAAGGGATTGGAGTGATACCCAACTAAGCTGTACCCAGAGCAAACCCACTTAATGGATCTACTCTGAGTATGACTAATAATCTAATTATTTTATGCCTTTAAGACTATAGCAATATTTCCCCCTTTAATTGCCTGATTAAATAATGAAGTGATGCTCCCCAGAATGAAGGCTTGTGAGAAAACAAATGGGGGAGCTCAGTGTGTGTTCATCAGCACTCATGCCCATGAGAAATTGATGAATCATATGGTCTGTCTTAATAAACCCCAACACACCTGCTGGCATTGTAGTGATGTAACTATTCGTAGCCTTATGTTGGTACAGGCCTACACAGCTTGCCAGCTCCCAAAATGAATGAAATCTACCAACCATATAAGGTGGCTCAATGGAGGTTCCATAAAACCTCCTGTTGTTGTTTTTCTGCAAGCCCGGGAGTGCAGAACCTTACGAAGGAAAGGTGAGTTCCATGCACATAGAAGGACATAATATGTGGCTGGCCAAGTGCATTCACATTGATAGGCCTACAAGCTGTACTAGGGTACACAGAAGATAAAGGCCACCATGCACAAGAAGTATATGCATTATATGCACTTATGTGCAGTGATTTCTGTAGACTTTGGTACTTCTCTCTGTTTAGGACTGCAGCCTTAGCAATCAGACTAATATGCATTTTCTAAATTGGATATATTTACCTCCAAGCAACAGCTTAAGACTTCAGATAGAATTCTACTAAGAGATTAGTAAAGAGGATGGTCCTCTTTTTGTATGCCATTAAAAAAAAATGTTCTGCATTTAAAAAAAAATAATCTCTGTTAATATTTATCTCCTGAATACATTAAAAAAAAAGTGAGATCAATAATATAAAGTGCTACAAAAACTTGTCAGGCAAAGAAATGTGGTGCCTATTATTGAAAGTTGTATAACTTTTTATCTCTCTCTGCATTGTCATCCATCAAGTGATATGAAGTGCAAAGTGTGAGCCTGATTTGTTCTCCTTTGTAGAGCCAGGCCGAGGCCCACTACAAAGGAAGTAAACATGCCAAGAAGGTCAAAGCACTAGAAGCAACGAAAAATAGACCAAAAGCTGGTGCTCCCAAGGACAGCGCAAAGGCTAATGCGAACTGCTCTGCTACACCAGTCCCAGCCAGCATCTCTGACAAATCAGGTCAATTTTCATTCTATACATTCTTTGCTTCTTCTTCTTTTGCGTGAGATTCTGAATGCATGCTTCCTATCCATTATGTTGTTGATAAATACTTTGTGATGAGAAGAACAAAACCGATGGACTGTGTTCATACATTAGCACGGCAACTTTTAGATCTCCAGTATTTCTTCTCCACACATGCTTTTCGTGTGTCCCCTAAATCTATTCTGGGGGTTCCTTCAACCTCCCTGGAGCACTTTTAGAGAGCGCATGAGGGTCATTACACTAGTGTAACTGTTCAGCTGGATACTGCCCCTGTTTTCTTCAAACCACACTGGTGGAATATAAGATTCAATATACGTTTTGCAGCTTAATCCAAGTCTCCGATTGCAAAAACAAAAAGCAAAACCAGAACACTTTCCCCCCCAGGCATATTTCATCCTCCTGTGTAAAGTCGTAGAGTTCTACTTAGACCACATGATGATCATTATCAGAATCATCCATTCTTAGTGCCTCCACCAAGGATTCAGTGTGTATTTCAATATGACAATAAATATCGTTACAAAGCTGTCTTTTCTGAAAACGGAAACAGATCAGTTAAAACAGCGGGTCACATTCCCTGTACAGTTTGACCGGCATATCCATTGTCCAGCTGAACGCAGCCATTTAGGTTGTGAATGAGGACAAGCAAAGATGAAATTGCCCGGTAGAGATGTGGCAATAGAGCTACTTCCCTGTCTACATTAAGACCCATATCACCTACTGAGTGCAGTAGGTGAGATGATGTGACAGTCCTGCCTTTGGGGTATGAACAAGGGAGCGAATAGTTTGCTTCCAAGTGGCATCAAACAAATCCTGCTTTGCTGTCTATGACATTTGTCTGTGGCTCCATGCTCTGAGCTTGTTAACACTGTCAGTTATATTGAGATGGAGATGATAACCTTAGTCACTTGTGTTTGTAAGAGAAAATCATTTTTATCAAAAGTGATGTGAAGCTGTCGGATAGCTTCTTGACTGTCTTGTTTTCATCCTGGGATAAGTTATCCTTTCAAATGTGGCATAGCCAACCGAGGTATGCAAAGATGTATGGAATCCAAACTTCATCCCAGAGATGAAGTTATCTACATTTGTAGTGAATTATCTATGGTAACACCTTGCAGAGAGTCATCTAGCTTCCTGGAGGTAAATGCCAGCTCTTTGGTACGGTAACCAGAAGAAGGAAAATACATGCTGGTTGTGATCTAAAGACATGAACACTCAACAGTGGGCTCCTCATGGCACTGCTGCAAGCAATTAAAACTTCATCTGCTTGCGAACCAACTGATGGCCAGTGTTGTGAAACCTAATGAGCTGCTTCCCTTTCTCCTGATAGTAGGGAAAGGTGGTACGAAATTGAGCACCCCCTCGCTCCACAGCTGCCAGATAGGTGATCAGAGCTGAGAGGGCTGCTAATTTCAACTGATGCTTAAAGACACACACACACACAGAGAGAGAGAGCCCTAAGCACTGGATACAGGGATTTAGTACCAGGGTTCATAAACACAGCATCCTTCTAGAGGCATGGTTCCTCATCCAGCGGGGGATACGTATATGTGTGGAATGGATTGCTTTCACACATATGCCCCTGTCACTGGATTAGTGTGCATGCCCCAGAGTGGCTCGGAATAATGAGCAAGCGGGCTGGGGGTCGGGGCTGGGGCTGGGGGTCTTGCCTATGTAGCCAGTGCCCCGGGACACTCTGGTGTTTATTCACAATAATAAGCCTGCAGCAAATAACCTCTGACTCTTCCACAGATATTTGGAAGCAAATAGCCATGTAAACAAGCCCATAGGTGCTCCCTATAGCACATTTCTCAAGCTCTTGCTTGGTAATGTTGACAGCAAAATCTAGTGGGAAGCCGTGCTCTGGTCTTTCTGCATAAACCGGTAAACTTTGGTAAACCTCATGAATAGTCCTGAAACATTACAGTCCCTTATAGAGTAGACCATAGAGGCATCATTAGTTCCACATGCAGTGGAACGAAACGGGCTGCTATTTCTTTTTGAATCATATTAAGTAGATGTTATGAAATATATTCCTACCCCACATGACCCTTACTTTTATTTATAAATGCCAGCTTAAATGTGGACCCTGAGAAGAAATGTTTTGCACTTCACAAATTGTGCTTTGGATAGTAGGGTCATGGGTTGGGACTCAGGACCAGCAACTGAGTTACAGCTGCCCATCACTGAAAATGGTTAAAATATGGTTAAAAGCTGGGACTCATGCTACATGATTGAGCTAAGGGGTGGTCTGAAGTCTGCAAAGGTTGACGTCCACTGCAAGGTATTATTTATATTTATCTATTGCTCTTCTCTCTCTCCCTTGAGAACTCTGTGACTTAGCTTAATGTTAGGACTCTTCTACACAGCTGCAATTATAATGTTATAAGTGCATTATAAAAACGTGACACTAGATGCCAATGTAGAGCTCAATGGCAAATTGCATATATATATATATATATCGGGGAGTTTTCATAGCATTTTCATAGCGTTTTTTATATCTGTGTAGATCCAGCCTTAGAGTTAGTGACTAGCCCAATTGGTTCAGGGATGATGTACAATTGATCATGTACCAAACTGAAACTTGCAACTTGGACAGACAACCACATGGGACCACCTACCCATGAAGTGGAGATGGTTTTAAGAAAGTATCTTCAGCCACACTTGCTCAGAAATTCAAAGCAGCCATCTTCACCCGTCCCTCCAATTCAATTTCCCTGGCAGCCTTAGGAACTAGAGGCTGATGGAAGGAAGCAAAAGTGGTAGCTCCAAGAATTAGTAATTCAGTTTTAATTTGTACCCCACAAAACCAATCTTAGCTGTGTGAAGATGATTAAAAAATAACTCCTACAATAAAGACACATAACACATGTGCACACACATTCACAAATTCTCTCCAGGCAGAATAAACTGAATTAAATAGTCAAGGTACTCAGCTTCGTGAGCTACTGAACAAGATGAGTGCCCCAGCTGCACCTGTTTACTTATCAAATGAAAATAAGGATCCTTTGATCACACATTCTAAATCAAAACAAATATACTTCAGAGTTGGAGGGTCACAAATTTGAATTCCACATTTTTGTATCTTCCTTTTGTGATATAAAGGATAAGAAAATAAATGCAAATGTGTTGTTGGTTTTTTACATAAAAGAGAACAATATATGCTTCTCAGAATATAAATGTAGGGCCTATTGCTCCCTTTGAGCCTCTCTTGGCTATGATCTTGTCTCAGCGATGTCAACTTGGGCTTAGTTGTGAGATTTCAATATTTAGTCCTAACAGTTCTTTTTCTAGGACTCTGCAATATTTTTTATGCTGTTGGCATCCATCTGTCTCAAGGGACAATCGACTGCTTCTCTGGAGGTGAAGACAAACCTCTGTGTTAGCAGCACACAAGTTTTAATTAATTTAATAAATTTTATATTTATGTCTTGCGGTCCGGGCTGCCCAGATGAGAAGACTCCCCTCTCAGCATCGCTGATATGGTCTAAAGCAGAGCAATACGTTTGGCACCAGCTGAGCTGCAGGAGTTGCCAGGAGGAGGCATACAAAGCGCCATCCAGCCACCTTAGGGATTTCATTCTGGATTTCTGTAGTGTTTAGTCCTTAGCCTGTTCTTATCCCAAATATATTCCGCTAGGGAGCAGAGGTGTAGGGCCAGAGCTTTCCTTCTCCTAGATGGGCTACCTTCTCAAGTTGAGGAGCCCCATCCTCCCCTCACCTCCCTCTACGATAAGTGCAGAGACCACCTTCTTGACCATGGGACCCACTATTGATCTTGTCCACTCAATCTTCCGGAGCCTGTCTTCGCATGCAAGGGAAGTCCCTAACTCACCAATGGTTTGAGACCCATCAGCTACCCTCACCTGGTTTAGCTGGCCAGTTGAAGCTGTTCCCAGGGTGTGGCCACTGTTGCATCCTGACAACTTCTAGGAGCCACAGGTGGAGCTGAGAGCAGGGTGGGGACCAAAGGTGAACGGATTACCCCAGAAGGTGTCTCCCACCAGAGGTATTAAAGGTAAAGGTACAGGGACCCCGACCATTAGGTCCAGTCGTGACCAACTCTGGGGTTGCAGCGCTCATCTTGCTTTATTGGCCGAGGGAGCCGGTGTACAGCTTCCGGGTCATGCGGCTAGCATGACTAGGCCGCTTCTGGCGAACCAGAGCAGCGCACGGAAACACCGTTTACCTTCCCGCCGGAGTAGTACCTATTTATCTACTTGCACTTTGACGTGCTTTTGAACTGCTAGGTTGGCAGGAGCAGGGATCGAGCAACGGGAGCTCACCCCATCGCGGGGATTCGAACCACCAACCTTCTGATCGGCAAGCCCTAGGCTCTGTGGTTTAACCCACAGTGCCACCTGCATCCCACCAGAGGTATTACACCTCCCCTAATACTCCATACAGTTGTCAGTTTCAGATTATTTCCTTGGCTACTAATGCTGTGGAGCACTCATTCTAATTTGTTGAGAAAATGTATTTACCATCTGGAAAATGGGTTGATGGTCCTTGCTTTTATATGCACTATTGAAAAAAGAGGTCCATTCCACCGTGGCACAGAATGTCAGGGTGGTGTGTACAGATATTATTATTATTTTTAAAAAACAAACAACCTTTAAAAGTAGGACATTGCAGGAGTCCCTGTTCTCATGTTGAAGGGAAGCATCTCCTCTTCTGAGCACTAGCTCCCAGTCCTTTGCTGGGCAACCAGCACTTCTGCATGAGAATCAGCAAGGGGCAGGTGCCACTTTTCCCTTCCCTCAAAAGGACACAGGGCATTGAATGAGCAGACCAAAAGGGGAAGCAGCTTTCATCCCAAAGCATAACTGACAACTTAAGAGATTAACATTGGACTTTCTGCTCTCAGAATTTCGATTCCATGCTTTCATTCCAGGTTTTATCTGTCCACCTGTCTTTCCCTCTCTCACACACACACCTTACATATACTCCCTTTGATTTGCATCACCTCGGAAAATAAG